GACGCTAGCAAAACATTTTTACATGGAAATTGTAGATCTCGTCGTCCTCTACAAGAAAGATCTGATGCAATTTTTCCGTATGTCCAACGGTTTGGGAGTTATTGGCCAAAAACGAAAATTTGGAAGAAATTGAAGGGGTACCCCTTGGAAAAATCGAAAATTTTTTTTTGTTGTTTATTATTAGCAATGTTCTTCCGACGTCTGATTTCTTTTTAAAAAATGCGTTTCTAAAGTGCATAAACTTTTGGGATTGACTGTATAGCCAATACGTCTTTAAGACGAGAGCCTTATAAAATGCGTCAACGATTATTCTTTAATACACCGTACGATTAGAGTGAAAATGAGAAGTTCCCGTGCGACTAGAAGCGCGTTATACACTCGTGTGTGTGTTGAAAAATATTTCGACTCTAATCCTGATTGGAAAATATCGTTTTCTCGTTGGTTTCTCTGAACAAGGATTATCCCGAAAGAAAAGTGAACTCTAACGTGAGGAAGGCAACGCTTCGATAGTTGTTAAAAATCGTGCATATCCGTATTATATCACAGTAAAAAAATACTGTGCAAAATATAATATAATAAATATTTCAAATAGAAAAGAAAAGGAAGTTTCCTTTCTCACGTTCATCCGTTTTGTTGTTTGTTTTTTTTTTTTTGGAGTTTTTCTTTCTTTTTTTATCAGATAGCTTCTTAACGTTTAAAGTACAGCGTATTTTCTCAGAATGATTCTTAATTGATTCGCGCGACGTTAATAGTACAGCGTTATTAATATCAACGACACATCCCCTTCGTTAAAATTATCGTATTAATAATATTATAATGTATGTACAGTCAGACTCCTTCCTGTGTTAATTGGGCCGCTATCTACGTACAAGCCCTATCATTATTATTACGTACTCGCTAACAATCGATTATAACGTTAAGAAACTGTATCGTAGTAAGTGACACGATAAATTATACCGAGATTTCTCAACGAAATTAAAAAGAATTCCTCCTCTTCGCGGGCCTCGTTAACGAGCCGCGCATCTTCACTCTTCAACGATTTCTTCTCTCTCCGTTTAGTTATGCACTCGCGTACAAGTGATCTATCGTTACAATTAAAACACGTCTACGCACAAACGCGATTAGTGTCTCTCCCACATGTGCGTAGGTGTAAGTGTGTTAATTTGTGTATACATGTATATTTATATTAAGTATAATATATTATTATTTATTTATATGTATCCATACGGTAGGCAATGATAAGTGAAAATATAGTCGGAAAATTCAATCCGGGAAATCGTCTCAGCCAAATGGGAAACGGGAAAATGTCGTGTACGCAATCCTTTTGCAAAAAAACCAAATCGCAGTGAAATTAACATTCGCCTTCGTTTACTGATATCTGTGAAATTCGTTGTTAAACTTACTATTCGTATTTCTGTCTTACGGTAACCCGTCGAAAATTTTTCGTTTCTAATGCACAGCGATAACAGATAAAAATAATTCAGCTGTCCAAGATTTTTCACAAGAACAATTTTGTCTTTTGATTTTCCAACAACAGACATCCAGGGAGAATCGTCGATATGACAATAATAATAATTGAGATCTCAATTTTTGCTTTAGAGAAACCATTAGAAATTTACGTTATTTCAATAAAAGGAACGTAACGACGATACTCCGAGGCACCTTTAACTCTTACGAATATAAATATATATTTATATAATATAAAAAGCTGTCCGTTAAGATTAAGTTGAAATTTCATGGTGAAAATGAGAAAAATTGTAATAATAAAAATATAGCAGTATTCGAGACCCTCCAGAGAAGGATACGTATGAGACATTTCCTTGTTACATCATGTTCAAGATAATAAAAATAATAAAGTAGATAGTAAAAATCGAAGATTTCATAATAAGTGACGTGGAAACAAGGGGAACGTATGTGACATAAGCTCGAAAAAAAAAAAAACACGGGATTGAAATTTTTAGTTTATATGAAGTTATTTGTTGATACATAGCAAACCGTTTCTTCCTTTCCTTCCATTATATTATTTGGATTTCTGTATTAGACGGGAGACTCGGAGTCTTGCTTCGTTCTGGTATTGTACGCTTACGAATTCGTGTAAAATTTGAAAAATAACTATTAGCTTATCAGTCGTCGAGGTACGTGCACGAAATTCTTTCTCAGGATCTTCCTCTCTCGGATATGCACATATTTTATTCGGTTTAGGTAAGTAAGTAAGTATAAAGCATTATCATTTATTTGAAGTACCACATGCAAGGTTTCCGATTAATCACGCATTCCGCGAAATGCTCGTTCTCTTCCCTTCTTGGTTTCGCGTTAAGGCAATTAGTATACTTTTCTTCTTTACATCGTTGCTTCGATATTCCCCAGTTCACGCGTCACAAAATACAAGACCGCGAATGGTTCATCGGAAGTATTGAAAAATAGGTGCGCGTAGCAGATTGGGAAGCGAGAGGGGCTCGTAACTTCACCGCTGAACGAAAGTACGAAGTGCGTAATCACTCTAAACACCTTTGGTTAATCGTAATTCGATTTCGAGTTTACTTTCAATAATGCCAGAAACACGCGAGAGAAAAAAAAGAAAATGAAAAATTACACGCGCTACATATTTTGTATAATTTTTTTACAAATTTATATGTATATATGTATAACTTTTACTTCGTATTCATCCACATCTTGCAGATACACCCACAAATCGAGTAACATAAGATTAGAAAGTAATACAAGGAAAATTAATTACAGTACGAAATCTACGTGAATGATAACCGGGAAATCTAGGAAACAAAAAGCAGAATAAAAGATAAGGGAAGATTTAAGGATAATTAAAGATGAATTAAATACTGCTCGTTTTTACGAGCTGTCGAATAGTACCTCCAGTAGAATTCTCTATTGGACATTTCTGTGCGTCACACGCACTTCGATGCATTATCTCTCTGCGAATAATTATTGAATTGAAAAGTACTTATATTGCAAGGCTTCAATTTGATGAAATGAAATTACAAAGATTCGCAATTTTCTTCTTACAATTCTTATATATGTACCGAATCAGTAAAGCCTCTAGTACGGAAAAGAAAACAAACACACGTATAAACACTTGATTTCATTTCACAATGTAAAATGGAGCGATTAGATCCGTATATGATTGATTAAAAACGAAAACATGTCCGCACGATTGTTTTAAAACATGATGCGTGAAAAAATTCAAAACAACAACAATAAAAAATCTCAAAAACAAACATTTGAAATAAATACGACCAACCTTGATAGCAAAATAATTTGATTAATTGTTTGTTAACGCTCAGCCTAATCTCTCCATTTTACTAGACTGATTCCTGAATAGTAATTTGCGACATATCAAGGGATGGCCCGCCAACTGAATTTTTGCAATTGATGCTGAAAGAAAATATCTTTTTAAAATTCATTCAATTCGCGCACGGTTGCCTGCTTAAAAAGTTTTCTCTACCCCACGAAAGATCAATGCACTTCAAAAATTTCACAAAAAGATATATAGATGTACGTTTAAAAGAAATAACGTCAGTTAGCTCTTGCCATAAAATAATTTGTCCGACGATTAAGATCTCTGCAGGCGGATCAACCCAGCTAAATTTACAAATCTCTTCCCATAAAACAAATTTCAACGATATATATAAGACGTTAATAGTTAATTTAAAAAAAAAAGAAAAGTATATCAAACGAACCAAAAAACAAATAGTTGGCCAGTTGAAATTAAACTGGCGCGTACGACGGGCAGTGCGTCTTATGCATTATTAAGTCCTCTACATTCCGATGATTTGCTGCGTTAAACAAGATTGAGTATTGGTTTTCTTTTATCTAACTGTTCTAACAAACCCATATAGCCACCAAACATGAAACGTTAATATAATTGTGTTATTTTTTTACCTGCCAGTCTCTGTCCTCGATCAAGTAATAATGTTGTGAATATAATAAATCGACGTAGAACGTGGCAAGACTCACTGAGGAGTGTGTAATGACTGCAAGAAGTGTTATTTACATTATTTGCATGTGTCGGCGAATCAGCCCTTGCCCTTGTTCCATGTCACGTAACGACAAAAGATTGGCGAGATTAGAGTTGTTTTTGCTTTTTTTGCTTTTGCTTTTTTGAAAAGTGATAAGATAGGGAGGGTGAGGAGGAGAGGGCATTCGAATAATTATTAATATATAATATTATAATAATAACAATAATGATGAGGTGTTCTAAACAGTGCTAGGACTAGTGCTAGAGGGTCCTGTGAGGAATCAGGGTGAGTGGGTACGGGCTAAGGAAGGGTTAGTGTGGGGGCGGAGGTTCCGTAGACTGGTTTCTGCCATCTACAGCCCTAACCGGCTTCCTACGTGAAGGACCTGTTACGCCAACCCCACCTCTAAGGTACGCTGGTGTTGGAGTAACTATCGGTTCTCTGATAGTTTCTCTAATTGGTTCTACTAATTGGTGCGATAGTGATTGCTGCAGTACCTGCAGAATAAAACGATTCGTTACCATCATCATCGTATTACCCTCTTTCACTGGACGATGGCAGAAGTTCGTGACTGATTTAAAATAAAACACAAACGTTTACGTTGTAAGGTACAATTTTATTAATCCATTATGTAGTTGTCACTGTTTTTTACAAGCTGGTGAATTAAAACCAGAAAATCGTACAGACCGAGATCGATCTGGTACAAATATACGTACAGAATGTTTTTTACGATTTTTCGATTTACGTCAGTTACGATTTGGACACTCAGGCCGTTCATAAAAGTCGGGCACGAACTTATGCGATCATCCGATAAATTAAATTTCATCTACCGTACTCACCAATGACTGGGGTAACACACTATGCATCAGCGTTTGAACCATAGGTGTAGTGGGTGTAGCGTTTAACGACGCGAGGTTATTAGAATTCGGGGGCGATCCTTGACTCTGGAGACCTGACCCCACGTTCTCAGCGATAGTACTCGTAGTAGTCTGAGCAGTATGCGATTGTTGCGTAGACGTTTGCGTCACGTGTTTACTCATCGTTTGATCCCTTTTCGCTTCTTGAGTCACGTTTGATTTCTTGGTAGAAACTGTGGAAGTGTTAGCGGTCGATGTTTCGGGGCTTGCCGCGAGAGCAGTTGCACTTGATAATGACGTTTCCGCTACGGACTCCTGCTGTGTTAACTCCGGCAATGTTTGAGAAAGCGTTCCAAGAATAAGTTCACGCGTAAAGAGACTTCGATTCGCACTTTCACGTTCGATATTTTGCAACTGCGAGTCGGAAAGGGAACTGGTAATACATCTGCGAAGGGAAAGACGAAATGCATAAAAATAAGCACGTCGAGCTCGTATTTTCAGGAGGTACAAAAGAATACTACATACTTTGGCAACAGAAACATATAGTTCTGTGAATTGGTAGATGATACACCGGACGGGTTCGCCACATTAGTTGTATTATTGTTACTACTCGTACTACTTGCTACCACGCTGGTCATAGTAGTAGAATGACCACTTCCACTAATAATGCCTCCGCAACTTGCAGAACCAAGTACCTGAGTCTGCCTCCTAGGTAACCGCTCCAATTGTTGTCTAGCAGCCTGAAAATCCAATAGAAATTTTCATCTCTCGATCAAAATATTTTTACAAGAGTGTCAGTTCCAATATTAATTCGTCCGTACTCTAACTTGTTGTCGCTCCAACTGTAGCTGCATTTGCAAATGTTGTAATTGTTGTGACGGTGCTGATGAACACTGACCAGTTCCACCTCCACTTCTACGAACACCGGATAATTGAGAAAGTAATTCTGCAATTGGATCTATACCTTCTCGACTACTCGGACTCAATCCTCCAGACGAACTGAAATGCATATTGGACCTGCAGGTCCAATGACACGCCAATGAACATTATCTAAGGTGAGATGATGATGAACTGAAACTGAAACCCTTCTTGGCGTTCTCTCTTAGACATTTCTCTCAAATAAAATCCATCTTTTGCCTTGAGGATCAAAGTGTAATATATATAAATATATATACAGGAAAGTGATTCTTAAATCGTACTTCAAGAAATAACTAATGACAGATGACTGAAATTACAACATATTAATGTTATAGAACGGATGAGAGAATGATACTGAACCAAGATACATGCATTCAAACGTATCCTTAACATTGAACGTAGACATTAGCATGGTCTACGATAATTTGTATTAGTGAAATTTGATTTTAGAAATAAATTAACGGTAGACTCTCAATGAGAAATAATCGTTCCCACGTGTTATTGAAAAACGGACACACTACTTGTCAAGATACATCATGATATTTTTATAGCTAACTAGTCTATTCGTTTGCGAATAACATACATACCTGCGAGGTCGAGCCCCACCACCAGCAACTCTGGACGAATGTGTTATCCGTCTACTACTATTATATCTACTCGAAGTTGGTTCATCTAGAAAAGAGATCAGGTCTCTTGGTCCACTACGATGCTCCAAACTTAAATGGCCCGCAAAATCATCAGTCACGTTATTAGCATCTCCCCCTGGGACAGACGCACATAATGGACAGACCTACGATACAATTTCAAGTTTGACAGCGTTCCCGAAGAGCGTTTGAAGAATTCCTACAAGATTTTTACTACGTATTGCAATATACATACAACTTCAAAAGAAGTGTCTGAATGATCTGCAGCAACATGTTCTTGTAGTATAGCCTCAGTGAAACCCATTCTTGCACAATAAGGACAAGTTAAGGATTGTGCCTGTTCTACACTTACTGCCTCTCCACCATAATATAATTCTATAAAATAACAAATGAACAAGTTCGCTTTTATTCATCGTACTATGTCCCAAGTGATACAACGGGATGATCGACTTACCGAACTCAGATCTAGTAAGTATACACTGCATAGGATGATCACTATGGTGACGTGTAGTATTGGCACCTCCTTCGTAACAGTTGGCACACAAGTCATAATCGTAGCACACGAGGCACTTGTATCTGCGACCCCGAAAATTCCCCTTTAAGCAGGCGTCACAACTTACCCCTGAAACCAAAATAATTATTATATAATGATTAATAGAATGGTGCCACCTGACAAATTACAGAAAAACAAAGAATGTTACATGAGATGCATTTACATAGGATTTAATGGGAAATTTCATTGTTTCTCTTTTCCTTACACATATATACTTCAACCTTGAACTAGGTCTATAAAAAGTACCGTACTCATGTCTATCTTAAATGTATATATTTTGGCATGTACATATCTTTATTGAAAGATAAAAGTACAACTTTCTCATTTAGAACATACGAAATGAATACTTATGATGACCTAATTTCATTTTTTCTATATAAGACTTAACTTTCTTTAGACTTACAATATTCTTTGTTGCAATTGTTTTTCATTATTACATTAAACAGCTTGATTATTATCATATATACGTAAAACTAAATATACTCTTGTTATGACAATGACTTCATACAAACTGATATATATTAAGTATATATTAATAGTGAATGTTAACATATTTGAACTAGCATATGATATTACTAATTTCAATTATATAACATTCATAGGCACAATGGAAATAAAAAAGGAGCACACGAGTTAGCTGTATTTGCATATTAAACAATAAGCGCTTTTTAATGTCTTGGATTCATTACAGAATATAAACTAAGAAATCACTTGCCAATGCATTGTTTGATGTTAACATTAGATCATAATCAACAATGCTCTGTCTCAAATTATATAAATGATGCTTTAAATGAGCTAAGAAGAAGATGAATTGAGAAACAAGGAACAAGGAAATATGTTACAATATGTTTTGCAGATTTAACATATAAGAGAAGAGGATTGAACAAGAAAAAGAATTTTAGAGAGACCATTTGCCAGAGTCATCCTGACAGTTGATCAACAAATATTATCCTAAAATTGTGAAAGTATTACATGGCCAAGTTAGGAATAAGTGATGACATCGCAAAAATTTGGATTAATTTAAAATCATCAGAAGAACATTGTAAATCTAAAGAAATTGGAGTAGATTTTTTTGATAAGTGGTGCCATCTGGCCTCTGACATTAGACCCTTTGGTACAGAGCTTACAAGAAATGTCTTACGAAAAATCTCGTACATTGTCGATTTCGTAACCTCGACGATGAGTTTGCACAAACTTTTTTATGCACACCCCTATATAGCCCACGATCCAAAAAATATTCCCGTGAACGCAAAATGAATTTAGCATGCAAGGCGGAGGCTGACTTGTTGGTCAGAAAACAGAGCACACGTACGTACCGTCATGTCGATTCATTTTCCGTTTAAAATCTCATATACGCCGATAGCGCGAAGTTTCGCGATCGAACGGTTTACGAAATACGATTACTGCTCGCCACTGCTTCAGCTCTTCACGTCGCTCGATGCAGCAGATACAATGGGGAAAACATTAATCGTCAAACAAAAAATTTTTCGTTAGAATTTCCAGCGTAAAACCTAACCCAACTAGGCTACCGTGACGTCACACTAGACCTACGCTCCCGGAGAACGTTGCGGGCTGGGTGTCCGTCATTACAATGTTGCCACATTCACGATGAACACGCGTGGCAAATTCAAATATCAAATCTGCGATTCCTTCACATTTTATACTTTTCCGATCGTTCATCTGTTTCTCGAGGTTCCATCAAAGCATGCACGACAAAACACGTCCATTTCATTTGAAGATCATATCAAGAGATCTCATTCTTATCTGTAAAACGTTATTAGTAATGTGCATAGTTGATTCCATAACATTTTATATTATTATATATTTAGACATTTTTAGCATTACCTTTTTTATACGAATTTACAATTTCTCCGTGCATTCTGCTTAAAACTATATAAAATTATGTGTTCCCAGCATGGGTTCAATTGGGTTCCCATTCGATTAACAATCTATGCTCCCGTTTATGTTGAGATTTGGCAATGTGGCACTCGTCCCACGAACTTTACCGAAAGATTCTCGTATCACTTCGGACTAGTCCGTGTGTAATCGCAATACCCGAAACCTATTTCGCGAAGTTGCTTCTTTTATCGAACAATGGAGACAATGCTTGGGCGCGTTTTTGTATATGGGGGCAAGGGTGCTTTAGGCTCGGCTTGTGTTTCAAAATTCAAGTCAAAAAATTGGGTAAGTAACGTCGTCGATCAAAATCTACAACTCGGGTAAAAAATATTCGAATGACGATTATGTTATCAATACCACTAACTCGTTTCCTCATAGATGTTCCGGCTTTTCATTTATATTTCCTAATGAATAAATGAACATAAGTAGTGTTATACGCGTACTTTTATCTTATTAAAAGTAAACGAATGATCACGTGCATTTTATTAATTAACTTTCTTGATCTGTACGTTTAATAAAAATCTTGAGATCGTACAAATGGGAAGTCCCATTTTCTAACGAATGACATCTAAAAAGTTTATAAAAATATTAAGAAATGTAAAACGTAGTGTCATATTTTTAATTATTTCAATTACGAATGTAATGAGAATTAAGAATTGCCTGAGAAACTCGCGAAGCATATGTCAGCATAATATACTGTTGCGTGCTTATCTTATTCAAATGGCAGATTAATTTACGCTCGCTGTTTTAAATGTACGGAATACAATACGTATCTTTTTCACGTCCTGTATAAGTTTAATATACCATTTCCATAAAAACATAGTTGTAAAAATACCAATTCTATTGAGTAATGTTACATATAAAGGAAAAATACATCAAGGTCATAGCTAGTCTATCCTTTCACATAACATACATCTCTAATTTTTTTCACAACTTTGTATCAACTTTGTAATCATAGTGGGTTGGCTCTATCGACATGAAAGCAAATGCTGAGGCTGATGCAAATATTGTTGTAAAGCCAGATTGCAACTGGCAGGAGCAAGAAACTCACATTTTGCAAGAAGTTAAAAACATTCTGAAAGAAGACAAACTAGATGCAATTATCTGCGTTGCTGGTGGATGGGCTGGTGGAAATGCAGCCAATAAAGATTTTGTTAAGAATACTGATCTCATGTGGAAGCAAAGCGTATGGAGCTCGGTCATTGCTGCCAGCATTGCTTCCCATCATTTGAAGGAAGGCGGATTCTTGTCATTAACTGGTGCTAAAGCAGCATTAGAAGAGACACCAGGCATGATTGGATATGGAATGGCTAAGGCTGCAGTTCATCAGCTTACCAAGTCATTAGCGGCTAAAGACAGTGGATTACCAAAAGATTCATTAGTTGCTTCTATCTTACCCATTACATTAGATACTCCCATGAATAGAAAGTGGATGCCTAAAGCCGACACATCTAAATGGACACCGCTTGAATTTGTCGCAGAGTAAATAAATTATGTTTCCTTTACTTGCCCGAATTTACCTATATGTTCTAATCATGCTTATTCTGGAATCACAGCCTCTTTTGGAAATGGTCTCAAAAGCAGGAACGCCCAACTAATGGCAGTCTTCTGCAATTGATTACCAATGATAATAAAACAGAAGTAACTGCGGCTTGAAACTAATGTTCTACTCTCTGGACCAGGAATCACATCGTTGCTACCATGACAATATATATCTATTCAATGTTGACATTTAATAATCTAATTTTATTCCATATTAATGCATTTCTGAACACAGGTGCTATGTTCATTCCACTATACAGATACGTATGAAAGTTCTTATGCAATTTGATATTATTTACGAGAAAATTGAAATACGTCTCGTACTGTTTTTGAGATTTATTTTTATACAAATGTAATATATTATACTACGTAAAATATATTGTAACTTATGTGAACAAATAAATAAATATCAAGAATTACCAGCATGATTATATCGAAGATAATGTAATATTACAGAATACGGATATACCAATTTATTTTCTCTACATACAACAAGAAGTTTGTGTTCGCCTTGTAGTATACGTGACGAAGCTCACATAATGGATCTTTTCAACGATAATTTGTTATTAACTTAAAGATGCATACACTAATGAAATGACAATATGTTTACTTTATTTGGAGAGTTTCATTCAGCATCTTAGTTTCAGCTGTAACAAAAAAAAAGATTAGATAAGCATCATTATGATATGAAAATTGAAAAAGATGAAGAACTTCTTGAATATTTCCTTACCTTCTAATAACCGTTTCCGTTCTTCAGCTAATTTCGCATCCCTCATTGGTTTTTCTCTCAGTTCTTGTTCGCGGCGAGCATTTTCTCTCTTACTCAATCTTCTTTGATGGTAAGCACCATAAAGTATGCCAGTTAGCAGGAAACTCCATCGTGCAAACTATGTGTAATTGAATAACAGAATTAGATGAAATATTTCTAATTCATTCATTCATTCAATGAGAGTTACATAGAGATTTAATTATCGTTCATTTCTGTTGGGATCCTAAGGTTAACAAATTTAGCATCAATCTGTCTTCAATTTCTGTATAACAGTAAGACGAACATTTTTCATATTTACGTAGGTAAATCTTAATAAAAGGTCATTTTTTTAGTATTTATAGGAATTATGTAATATAATCAGCTTACGAGCAATTGTTTCGAACAGTACTTGTTAGGTAATAAAACAAAATCGTAATAATGCAAGCTTCGGACAAATGACAATTGGGAATATTCGAATTCGATTTTCGAAAAAACCTACTGTGACATAAATGATGCTTACTTTAATTACAGGAGATACTTGCAAAGGTCTTGGACCAGCCTCGACAGACGACATTTTGCTAGTGCACTAGAGAAGGAGAATAAATTCTTCCGATCTTCGATTACGATTCTTCTTCGAAATATAGCGCCCACGCGCTTAGTTTAAACACGGTAATCAACGTTCGTATTATTTTAAAGAACAGAACAATATTCCATCACTTACAAGCATTTAAATTCTATTTTAAGCAGTATTTTTCTCTCATAAAGTGTTCCTTTCATTTCATAATTTGGGAAAGAGAAAAATTATAATTTATTCTCGAAGCACATATCTAATGTTAATAAATTTCTGGATAATCATTTATTTTAGATATTTATAAAGTATATATAATAAATTTAACTTGTTCATTTTCAATGCTTTTTGAAAAACGTTGTTATTTCTGTTGGTTGTGCATAGATGGCAACGACCTTCGACTCTCGGTGCCTCTTCATAACATTCGTGGCCACAGGTTTTGAGCGAGGAATCGCTTCCGAAGCTTTCTTGGATATTTCTCGGCAGTAAGCAAAATGGCGCCAGTGTGGATGGTGATATCTGTAGCGTTTTCTTTATTTTTTACACCTTTTCTTATGCTTTTGCTTGCTATCATTTTTCTGGCATCAATCGGGAAGTCACTCGGCATCAGAAGATTATATATAAAATTGCTGTTAGCACTATTCGAGGTAAGGCGCACAAAGAATAAGCAATTATTAACTTAATAGATTAGATTGTACCATACAATTTGAAAGTCGTGAAGAGAATTCATAATGCTTATCCGGTTAATGATACTTCGCTAGGTTACGAATTAAGGTTACACCATTTTTTTAAATGTGACTTTAAAAGTGAAACGCATGTTAAGCCTGTTAATGTATTTCTTGCGAGCATGAATATCTTTTATTCAATCTATGATAGACACAAAATCTACATACAGTCTTTTAAGTACGTGTTTGAAAGGCTCTTGCGTTGTTTGAAACGCTTTTCTCGAATAATACATGTCTAGACGTTTCTAATGAGCACGTTTATCCATTGTTTCCGTCTTCCTATTACCATTTACATTTCAAAATACCTATGAATGAGACGGGAGATCGCGTTTAGGCGCAATCCTGTGTAATAGCTTATTAACAATCAACAAGTAGCAGTGAATCAGTGTTCAATTTGGAGTGTGAAAAGTGCGTGTTTCACAATTTTTATCAATGTAACAGTTTCGATTTCGCGAAATGTGTGATATCCTACAGCTAAATAATGTGCCACAAATAAATGCAAAGTACACGTTGCATTGACAGTTCAGGTATACGTCAAGAACAGTTTCTTTGATACACAAATTTTACATCCGCATTAATCTATTCAAGGACACATATGCATAAAAAAAATATATATAAAAAGAATGCATGCATAATCATAAAGAACTTATCACCATATGTATGTCTTCCTTTCATTGATATAATATCAATTCTCAGTATGCATGATCGTACGATTCAATAGATACCGTTTGTTTATTATTTCGACTAATTGCAGCAGTAATCAGTGAGGTTATCGGATCGAAATTGAAATCAAAGTTAAAAACATTACATTTATCGAGAAGTTTCGTTCGCATTTGCATATTTTAAGGTGGATTACATCAGTCTTATGCGAACAATACTATCGCTCCTAAACAGTGTAGCATGTACGGTGTAATGTTAAATTGATTTTAATTCACTTTGACGGACCTTCTGTGATGTTACATCGTACGTAACGAGCATGTATCGATTTAAAGCTGTTAAACAGCGTAGTCCTAGGTCTGAACATCACAGCAACGATACTTTAACATATTAAATTTCGAAGAATAAAGTAGTCGTCATTTATATTCACATGTTTTTGCTTGCCATTCTTCAAACACGACATTTTTTTAAGCACGTGACCGCTGTTCCTAACCGAACTTAGGTATGATTCAATTATTAATCATATCGAATTCTGGAACGTACGCGTATTTTCAAGGTGCATTTACCAGACAGAATTTCGCCGTTTCATTTTCATGTTTAATCAATGAACGTTCGTTATACGAATGTTTCAGCGAAACATTGTTGAAAGAGCATTTCCGGTCGCAATTGTATGCACATACGCTGAATATTTGTATACTATATTTGTGTAAATGTTGTTCTGGAAAGAATCGAATCGAGAGTTTCCTCTGCTTTTTTCAATCAATATTCCACTTGCGAAAAGATGTTAGGCCACTTTAATCAATTAAGGTTAAATTTCCGGCTGATCACCTACCCTGGTTTAATTATCGCCCTCTTTGATCATATTTAACCAGGAATCGTTTTATTGAACAATGCTTAACGCACTTCGATCCCGTTCCATGTGCTCAACGTAAATATCTGTTAATCATCGTGATTAGTTGATCCATATTCGATAAGAATAATCGTCTTTCCAATAAGTATTAATAACTATTGAAGGTTTAAAGTCTTATACCGAAATGACTTTCAAAACTAAAATTAATTTTGTTACAGTATTCACATCAAGTTATTCCTTTTTAAATCTAAAGAATCATATTATTTGTTTCATAATGGACTGGAGATGGGAAATTGTGTTGTAAAAGAATAATCAGTTAAATCCGGGTCTTGCGATGGGAAATTGTATGATGACAATAATCACATGGGCACGCGAGTTCGCATTGTAGACTATCTTCGTTTAAATTAGACACGATCAAACGTATCAGCAGAGACTGGTATCAGACGTTCAACTATCACCTGTTTATATGTCTCGCGACTTAAAAATTTTCTCTGTCTTTAAAGGATCAATCTGTCCAGCTTACGAAACGAGGTCGTTTACCGTATGCCGCGATGAGTACGCAGATCTCCTTATGTTCGTTGAAATGACGAATTGTCATGTCTGTCTGCGATGAAAATGTTTTCCATGTAAAGTATTCAAATGCGCGTTGATCTTGAGAATTACATGATAGATCGTCGATGCTGACCGCATAACAAGCGCATTCAAGGTTTAGCCTTCAATTTTCTCCAGTGATTTTGCATCACCGATCATTAGACTTCACGCAGTGAATAGGAACAAGGATTTCTTTTTGTAGTAATTTTAAATTGCTGGAAAAATAATTTCTTTACTCAGAATCTTTCTTGATAAATGTCAACTACATTTCGTTTCTGTATACTGCACTTGTTATCAAACTCACACATTTTCATGTTTAGAGAATCATGATTTTTTAGTAACAATACGAAGATCTCTTTCCTAATCACACATTTTCAACGTGATGATAAAACTCATGAAAGCTATCCAATACACGTGTTCATATCTCCTCAGACATGGTCAAAGGTTGGTCATTGCATATTAAGTATGTATTTACACCGTAGCTTTGATGGTTTGAAGAGAAAAAGGAACGGAGTAGACGCGAGTAATCACTATTTCAAAAACGATTGTGCAAAGTCCAAAAGGCAATGGACGTTAGTATTTATCGATTGTACTTTCATCAGCGTTATCATGTGTTATAATGCTATGGATGATAAGTTTTTAAATAAGTTTCTAAATTAAACCATGCTTTATCTGGATTTCACTTTCTTTCGAAATTATTACAAAAATTCTAAAATTAATTTGGTCAGAACGATTTGATGCGATAAAGAGTCCACCTATTCATCCAGCAAATAATAATTCATGATATTCAGCAATTTCTCACATGATAAAAGTCAGATTGCTCATCCATGTATGCGAATTGTATTGTTACCATTAATACATACAGTTGCCAATAAGAGTCATTTATAGTCTTGCTAAAAACTTCCGTGCAATTATTGAGAGACAAAAATAATTTTAACGTATCTTTAAACATGATCAAGCAAATGTAGATATCTAGTTTAATGAACGAACAATTGTTCATAGAAATACTTAATAATATTATCAGAAAAGTGTCCGAGGAAGTGATAAGACTCTATTGACAATAATCTCGAATTTTAAGTATACATTGTTATGCATAAAATATTCTGTTTTAAGCACATGTTTTTCGCCGTTCAAGTTCATAACTATTTCTCCATAAATCCTTTAAGAGGCTGTAAATCTTTTAAGAGAGCATAAATCTTCTCTCTCTCTCTCTCTCTCTCTCTCTCTCTCTTTCAAATTAGTTTTTATTACAAACTTATTATTAGAGAGAATTAACGTCACCTTGTTGATTCTATGAAATTGATACGACGAGGTGGACAAAATTATGTCCTTAATCCTTTGGACGCTTTATATTGGATACTAAACATAAAGAATCGATGACAATTTTTTTGCGAATGAATTTAAGCAACTTGTGCAGTTCGTACTTTTGCCAACAAACAAAGTGCAATATGATTGCAAATCTCGGTGCAGACCTCTTTCTAGAGGGTATTCGGAAACGTTCCAAGGAGGATAATTACACGTAGTGATATTTCACTTTAGTACGGCAGACAAAACATAGAGAGTGTAAAGAAGACAAATGGAACCTGGAACCAGGATGACGAGGACACGGATGAAGAGGAGTGCGAGTCGCGGCACGTTGAGAACCAAAACGTTCAGAACCTGCAGACGGAGAGCAACATGCAGAATGGGACAGCGTTGGGTCACAACGTCATAGCCAGGACCAAGGATCTGATTTTGGTGCCGGTGCCGGAGGTGCAGAATCAGAAGAATCACTTGGAGGAAACAAAAGCGGAGAATTCACAGACGCCCGCCCAATCCGCCAGTAAAAATGAGGTGTCTACCACATGATTTATTATTAGACTACGGATTTTTATGGAAAACGAAATAATAGCGATGTCAATTGAAAAAAATGGAATTTTGTGACGTTCTACATATATTCTACACGTTCAGTTCTCTCGTAAACACATAAGATCCGCAGTCTATTTATTATTGTTTGTCCAACGGGCTGAGATCATACTTGTCGTAGGCTCTAATTCGTAGAAATTCGTTCGAAACACTAAAAAGGGAGTTCGAGCCTGCAATTTGTTTGGATTACATCAAGGCTGGCGTTGAAGCCATTATCGAGGATGAAGTAACGTCTCGCTTCGAGGCAGAAGAGCTCAAAGTAAGTTCTTCACATTACCACCGAGATAGTATTAAAGAGTGACAGCGCCCGTGTAATCGTTGGGACAGCGAATGGGGCCCAATCGGGCTCAAAACACAGTTGATAGTCACTCTTTTCATTTTATCGGTACTGCAGACTATTTCGTGTGACACAAAGTCCCATAAGGCTGCCACTCTTTAGTAATCTTTCCTCGGTGATATTACTCTTCATCCGAATACATTTTGTGAAATATAAATCACTTATATTACTTTTTCTATTCTTAGAACTGGAATCTTTTAACTAGAACGAATAGGCTTTACGAATTTATTTCTTGGAAGCTAACTGTAATATGGATGTGTGGATTTTTTATGCGTTATTGCTTCCTCCTACCGTTGAGGATAGTCTTATGTTTCATTGGGGTAAGTGTCTTTATTTTAATTAAGTTGATAATCGAACTAATCATAAAAAGATCGAGACAACTTGGTAGGATGTATGCATTTGAAGAACTTTTCTCCAAATTGAGGCCACCGTAAAATGATAAATTCGTCTTAGAAATTAACTAACATCAGAGCTTCACAGTTACAGTATTTGATAATTTCAACATGTATTGTCGGCTTCCTACCAAATGGTCCTTTTAAAAATTGGATAAACGACATAGTTTGTCGTTTAGCGTTCAGGATATTAGTACAGTCTTTGACAGCTGTAATTACTATCCATAATCCAAAGTACAAACCACAGTGCGGAGGAATATGTGTGGCAAATCACACTTCCACAATTGATGTGTACATCTTATCCACGCAGACAACATTCTCCATGGTAATACATAATTACGAGGACGTGTCTTGCTTTCAAGATTTACTGTTGGGAATTGTGTCTTGTTTTTTGGTATCAACTAACAGTCTGTTTATGGGGACAACAGTTTATCTTTATATATAAAACACAACGAAACCAAACTAATCAAATCCAATATTTTTTCCATGCTACGTTCTCGTACATGGATTTTGGTAATGTTATAAAAAATAATGGATTGGTTCAGTTTGATCTCCATGTGGCTTATATTTGAAGATATAATGAATAATTTTTTTTTAATGGGTAAGAAATGATCGAAATGAATGTTTGGGAATAATTTGAAATGAATTGTTACATTTATCAACGGGAATAATAATGTTTTATATCTAGTTGCTTACTGACAAAACAGTTGAAAATGCATTAGTAAATGTTACAGGTAACAGATCCTGTAACTTTGCTTTGCAGGTAAAGCTCACTCAGCAACGATACAGAGGGAGTCATCGTTTCTCAGGTGCAAAGCTTATGGTTTACAGGTGATGTGGCTGACAGTATGTACAGCAGTTGTGGGCTACGTTCCAGAGGGTAGTTTCAAACGATGGCTGTATTACAAAGTCTCCATAATGTGCTTCGGCGTGTTATCGAGCGCTCTTTCGTCAGTAGTCACCTACAATAACCCAGAGAATCGACCTGTAAGGGGCATTTGTGTGGCTAATCACACCTCTCCCATAGATGTCCTGGTACTCATGTGCGATAATTGTTATTCCCTGGTACGTTTTTCGCCGACTAATCGCCTGATATTATTTTTTATTTCAATTTTCGCACAGTACCAGTGGTCGAAGCTTTTTGTGTAGGGTGCTTTATTACATGTCTTGTCTTGTCTGTGCCTGCCGGGGATTTTTTATCGTTCGAATTAGGTCCAATATAGCGGAGCATCATTTTCTTATTTAGTTACGAATGTCGTTTTAGGTAGGTCAGAGGCATGGTGGATTTTTAGGTATTCTACAGAGAGCCTTAGCGCGTTCCTCGCCGCAGATTTGGTTCGAACGGTTCGAGGTAAAAGACAGAGTCGCAGTTGCGAAACGGTAAGTTTCAGAATTTTGTTTTGTATTCATCCTGCGACGTGTTATGATTCTTTCTTATTCGTGTACCTTATAGATTAAGGCAACACGTGTCTGATCCCACGAATCCACCAATTCTTATTTTTCCTGAAGGAACTTGTATAAATAACACATCGGTTATGCAATTCAAAAAAGGAAGTTTCGAAGTTGATAGTGTTATTTATCCAGTTGCGATAAAGGTAACTCTTCTCTATGTAGATATACATTATAGTAGCTTTTGCCGTTGTAGGTAACCAATTGCATTGTTCTTATTCTAGTACGATGCAAGATTCGGAGACGCATTCTGGAATAGTAGTCGATACTCAATGTTACAATACTTATACAGGACAATGTCGAGTTGGGCTATAGTTTGCGATGTTTGGTATCTCCCTCCGATGTATAGGAACGAGGGAGAGAACGCTATTGATTTTGCTAATAGGGTAAAGTCTGTGATAGCAAGGCAAGGAGGTCTGGTCGATTTACAATGGTACGTCATTTTAAATACTGGCAAAGTTTGCTAATATGAGATTGATAAAATAATTACACAATCGTTTAGGGATGGCCAGCTTAAGAGAATGAAACCGAAAAAAGAATGGCGAGAAAAACAACAGGAAGAAATTAGTAAACGAATTAAGGGCGAGTGAATGAACTCATCTCTAGTCACACTTTCGCGATCGATATAAATGTGTGATATTTTGTTTAGAAAAAATTTACCCAATGCGCTGTTTCATCTCCTTTGTAGATATCCATCTGCCCAAGGGTAAAAAATGGCTCGTATGCATTATTCAGTTTATTTATTTTGGCAGGTATGGTACGCAGCGTCTTCTTTTATAATAATTTTTTATATAGAAGAAATCAATATTGTAATTGTTCATTTTATGGTAACAAAATTCTCATAGTACAAATTGAACGGAATGTATACTCGAAAGAGCCGCGGGTACCACATTTGCCAGTTCTTAATAGCCAGATTCTCTGATGAGGCATTATAAATTTGTTATTTATACATAATGAAGTCTCTAATATATACCGACGATGTGTGATTTTTGCGTGTGTGCGTGTGAAGGTATGTGTCATCAAAAAGTCCAGCTCATTCTATTCGCATTCTTACATTTTTAGGATCACCTCATTATTTCATTGTTTTGTATCTTGTTCGATAATTTGTTTTAAGTCCATCTGATATTATGTAGGAAAAATTGCATTTTTTTCTTTTTGTAAAAATGATAGGAACTGTCCTGTCTCTACTTTAGCAAATAAACTACTTATTCATACGTCTCAGAGAACAAAGTCAGCATACACCAGGCTATACCACGGTACTGTACCCATCCCTAGGTAGATTATTTTAAACGCGTACATTGCAATCTGAGGGCATATTTTCGATTTTATAATTAATCGGTGAAATTTAGGAAGAGGTGTATACAAGACGTGTGAAAATACAAATTCATTATATTTGTACAAAAGCAGATCATAAACTTCATTCACTATTCACAATCTAGTTGATATTTAAGTTGTGGATTTCAATTAACGTTAGGTCATTGTCTTTAATACAATTTTTATTGATATTCTTTTAATTTAAGTATGTATACTATGATCAATTAAAACAATCTATAGTTTTAAGTTTTCTGTTACGAAGTTCGCAGGTGCTAGTAGAGGATAAAAATTTTGCACTGAGGAAAACGTTGTATTGTTCTAGAAACTAAATATTCTTATAACAACAATACCGATTATGTAACGATTTATGTAAAACAGTTAGTCGAAATTGAAATATTAGTTCAGGAATCAGTTAGAATTACGGTGCTATGTACGAGGGATATTGTTTAATTTTTTATACAGGAAAGTGCTAAAATATATTTTTATCTAGCATTGAAAAACATGTAGACAAAACGTAGAAAATGGATCCTGTACTTGTCAAATTATTTGACAGCAGCGTAAATATTATTAGGAATAACACGTATTGATGTTTAACACGTTCCGTGCCACGTGTACCATAAATGGTACATGCAGAAATATTTATTTAATGCGCTGGAACATCAAATAGCCTGAACGACAAGTTTGGCAAAAACGGCTTGTTACGGCACGAAACTTGTTAATAGCGATTCTGCTTTCAGGTATGAAAAGTATTGTATATACAATATGCTAGTCACTGATATACTTACTTCACAGAGAGATACAGCACAAATGAATACTTATATTTAATTGTTATGTACTCTTCCTGCCTAGATTATACTGTATATTTTATAATTTAAATACCTATATTAATTCCATGTAAAATGAGAGCAGAGGTTCACATGCATCAATGGACGATACAAGTTATACATATTTATTTTTAAAGTATCCACGATCCCATAATCATTGAATGGGTTAGAGTTTAAACAATTATTTGGTAAATGTATATAACAGTTTCTATTTTAACATTGAAAAACTGTATTTACTAGATTTTTTGTAATACCGCATATAAATAAAAGGAGCGAATGTTATTTGAAAAACTATATGATGCCAGTTCATTTTAGCAAGTATATAATTGATTTTGAATATTTATTCTTTCATGCTATATTTACAAAGAAAGGTTTGTTAATAGTATTCACCCTAAGTTTCTTTGGACTTTGTCTTCTTCATTGAGCTTTGCAGCTTCTTGTTCCTTGAACAATCTGATTAATTCCTCTGTTGCTGTTGGCTTCAATTCAGCAGGTTCGGCAAGTTTTTTCTGCAAACGAATGCAACATTGAAAGAAGAAATGTAATGAAGAAAACCTGAATGAAAGTAAACGTATAATTTACATCTGGGAATTGTTTTTGATTTAAAGATGGGTCTTTAAAGGTGAAAGGTGTCCAGGGTCCTTGAATAGATGGGAACTCTGTATGCCACAATTTGAGTAATCTGAGGGCTGGACCTTCATGATATTGTGTCCTTAATAATTCCATCCATTGTACAATGTCTTCTCGGGTGTAATTACCAACACAATTCCAATGTGTCTCTCCATTCACTAGAGTACATGTAAATATAGAATGGATATTTATATACAAATATTTGAAATAATAGCTGACTTACAGTATTCTGCTTTTATAACTGGACTCCTGTGTCTTCTTGGTTTTACATATACCACAACTCCAGGATTCTCTTTCGCGTAATTAATCAAATCGTATTCCAAGAAATGCCTACAATTAATGAATTTTATTTCGTACACTACGAACCAGTATATGAGACATTGGGTTACAATTCGCGAAACGAAAGATAATGATAATGACATAGAATTAATGTTAATCCGAACATGGAGCTGTAAATTGCGACGATGTTATCATAGAAAACACCAAGCGACGTGTTTATTTTTAAAGGATAGGTTAAGAATCGAAAACGTCGTACCTAATTCCGAGGCTGTCGCCACGATTTTTACAGAATTTTAGTGTCACTCTTTGCAATTGACACACGTAACGACCGACGCCGAGGGCAAACGGTACACGCAAATGTCCACATTTCAAAAATAAGTGACCAGCTGACATTATAAACGAAGAGTGCGTCAGAGTACGTGCACCACTTCCTTCCTAAACACTGAGATTGCGGTATATTCGTGGACGAATACACTTGCGAGTCATACGTGGTATGATAAAAAAATTGATGACAAATTTAAAAAATGTTTATCATTTAATCTTGCATTACTTTTTTTACATTTATATCAATTTTCTACAATATTCATGTTTAAAAAGATCTTGCTCGAATTTAGGCTACACGCGAGTTCAACGTTGGGCAATTAAGTGTTATCGAACCAGCGTGGCTCGATCACGTTGCATTTTACCGGCGGTAAAGGGACGGGCATTATAGAAGGCAAGGACGTGGGTAGGAATTCTCCTGGCCAAAGATGAATGGCGTCCATAAATAACAAACCGATGAGGATTCCGTGCATAAGCGGAGCCAAGATTCTTAACAATCTACTTCTAGGAGGTTTTTGTGGCCACACGAAAATCAATCGAGATCCATCTATCATATAAGAGTATCATATAATCACAAGTTTTGTACATAACATGCATTGTCAGAGTAAGTGTATGAGACTAACTTGTGTGACGGCGAATAATTGAGGATTTAACGTGATGGGGACTGACGCCCGGAGGAGCACTAAATATTCCATTTCCGCTGCAAGTTTTTCTCTTCTTATAACTAAATCTGCGACCTCCGCTCTGCCCGTATAAAACTCGGTCTTCGAAATTGTGCTCGTAGTTGGCCCTAATTGAGCCGGTGATCGTACTTCCTGTACTATCCTGAAGAGATGTACTGGTCCCGGTTATCAAAGAATATTTATCGTCGTCTATATTGGTCAAGTCCTCCGTTCTTCTATTAAAGAAAAATCCATTTACACGTGTAATCATTAAATTTATGTTTGCATCCTACGTCTTAATTGGAAAATTTACTGACTCTTGACCGAATCGAGAGGCAACATTGCTGTCCACTTCGATCTGCTCCAGATTTCAAACAATTCGCTATATGCTCTTTTTTATCAGTTTTATCGTTGAAACGCGTGAATCGGGTAGATATCTAATACATTTTGAACGTTTCGCAGGAAGCTATATATTTAATTCATGCTGATTTTCTATCCACTAAATTATACGTCAGAAATTATCGAGGATATTTGGGAAAAAAACATACGATCTTGTTCGATAGTTTTTTCCAATCGAATGCTCCTTCGATCAGAATATTGATACTGTAAACTTTTATCTGTCAACAGGAAATAAAGCAAACATTACATTCACACAAGTTATCAAAATTTTTTAGTATTGCCGACAATGATATTCGATAAAATGTAAGAATGAGTACTAATATCTTGAAATCTAAAAAAAGAAAAGAAAAAGAATCCTCCGTTTAGTGTGTGACTTTGAACTTCGGCAAAGATTTTAAGTCTAATTAAGTGCATCAAGAAACAAGCAATATGTCTCGCTGTAAATGTAAGTTCATTTAAAACATGTACGATCGCGTGTACATCAATCTTTCCGTTTATTCAGGTCCCAAGTCGGATGCAAAACCGATCACGAACGGTTTGCCATACTTCGAAGACATCACGACCAGGATGGAAGAACGGCGTTGCGACCTTCTAGGCAGGCAGAAGCATCTGAGAGAGAAGATTACGACGATGGAACGATCTATACCTGCGTTGATCGCGTACAACATGTGGATGTCGAAGAAATGTGATGACGCGCCGTATTGCAAGGTTCGCGAGATCATGAAGAAGTTCGCCGGTTACCCGGACCAAACCGAGACGCTCCTCAAAACTCTGAAGAAAACCGTGAAGGAGTTGAACGGAGAGACCGAGGAGTTGCATGTACGGAACGATTGAAATTCAACGATTAATTCGGGTAAATCTTGTGTTAGTGTGAATCAATTGCGCTCGGCCTAAGAATTTCACGTTTCGAACTTGTATATCGTACTTCCATTGAACATCGAACGAAGAAGCGTGGTTTAATTGCAGGAGAAAATTATTGAAACTGATGTGAAGTTGGAAGAGACGGACATGGAACTGGAGTCGTTGGAACTTGCGAACAGAGAGATGTTCGAGACCGTGAACAATTTGGAGAAAGAAGTGCGAAGCTATACTACTCCAAGTCTTCATTCGATACATTCCGAGGATTTGCTGTGCTTGTCGAAGATTCGTCAACTGGCGCAAGAGGAATTGAATTTGAAGAATTGCATTAGGGAGTTGGAGCAGAAAGAAACGATCTTCAAGGAGCATATGGATCGACTGTTAGCATCTAAAGAGTATCAAAGCGTTTGCAGTAAAAGGAAAATTGTCAGCTGCGTTCAAGGTCTGGATTACAGTGGAAAAATACATGTGCCTAAATGTTTGTTACGCAAGCAACGACCAGCGAAGGAGAAACAGAAACAGGAAGAGCCTGCTGTTGTTAGTAAAAATGATTTATGATTTTAATTACAAATGATATTGTCTAATATGTTTATTTTTGTTTCTGCGGGCACAGAGTGATGCAGAGATCTCTACTTCGGTGCAAGAAATTCAGAAACGGGATCAAGAGACCAAACCGGAAGTACCTCAGGAAAATAAGACTGAAAAGAAAACTTCTTGGATACCGAACTGGTTTTCAAATAATCAAAAATCAGAGGGTTCGAAGAACGCAACAGCAAGTGGAGATCCACCTCATGCAGAAAATGCAGATTCATCGAACGTCAAAAATGTACAGTTTAGTTGATTGTTATAAGAAATAGCTTAATTGAAAACATATTTTACATTACATATAACAGGAAATCGAGAAACCAGTGATTGTTGAAAAAGAAGTTAAAGGAGATAAGCCAGGCACATCGTTGAAGTCTAAATCGAAATCAGCACAGTGTCATCGTCCTTGTATCACTCCAGAGGATCTCGAATGTATTCTGAAAAAGCCTACCACTAGGAAACACGCTCTTCCTTGCATTGTTCCTCCTTGTCACGTCCCTCCTTGTCATTCTCATCCCTGCAGTAAACCCTTCAGTAAAGGTTGTTGTCCTTCAAGAAATCCGTTTGAGCCACCACGTTATAAAATGGCAGACCACGGTACGTGGTATATAAATTAGTTGTAAGAGCATAGACCATCATAAAATAACGTTGCAGGTATGAGTGGATGCCAAGCGTATAAATTACCCTGCGACCCGAAAGGACCCTGTGAAATATGCCCGTCGCTTCCCTGCTCGGGCTACGTGCGTCCAGGTACCTGCAAGTGTAATTGCAAAGGCAAATGCGCTAGCGGAATGTCAGATGTACCGTGCAACTGCAGCGACGATCCACTTGGCCCTTCGGAGGAATATCGACCAATTGGGTCTAGACGATTGGCTGATGCGCGAAGGGAAGAAGACAGCGATGATGACTTTTGTGAATGTTGTATGTGCGGTTGTGAAGATAGCGATGATTCATTGTGCCATTGCGGATGATCGTAAGTCCGATTTACTATTTTCTGGGTAAGACAAGGAGGATTTAATAAAAAGAAGACGATACTTAAAGACAATTTATTGTATTTTTCTCAAACATCTTTTATAAATAATTACATATCTAGCATAATGGGGAAGTATTTATGGCCTTTGAACCTGAAATAAATTATGGAATTATACACTTTAAATACAGTTTTTCTAAACGTTATTTGATGGAGCTTACCTGTCAGGTTTGAAACAAACTATTCTATTACGGTTCAACTTATTTATCGCATCCACATCTTCAGGGCTTAATTCAAAGTCGAATATATTAAAGTTTTCTTGAATCCTCGACTTTGTTACCGATTTAGGAATCACTATATGTCCACGTTGTATCTTGTTCAAAAATGTTTTTCTTTTCAAACTACCGTTCCAATACAGTATCTTAACAATTTTATTAAAACATTTACATACCTGATAACGCAATGCTACTTGCGCGGCACTCTTTTTATACTTGCCAGCTATTTCTTTTAATTTCGCATCCTCTAACACCAAGGGTTCGTTAGCTTCCGCGAAAGGTCTGTCAGGAGCTGCAAACGGACTGTAAGCAGTGATTGTAATTCCTTTCGAATTGCAAAACTCGGATAATTTCTTCTGGTCGAAGTACGGATGACATTCAACTTGATTCGTAACTGGTTTTATCGTGCTATTAGCAAGCAATCGTTCTACTTGCTTAATATCGAAATTGCTCACTCCGATATTCTTCACTAAACCTTGCTTTATGAGTTTTTCCATAGCGTGCCAAGTATCGATATAATCGGTATCATCCGCTATTAGATTGCCCTCAGCATCTTGGGGAAAAAACTCATCACCAGCTGTGAGCAAAACATTTCTTTCGTAATCATATAATAATAGATTTATGAAATAATTCACTATACCTTTGAAACCCATTGGCGAATGCATTAAGTAAAGATCGAGATATTGAAGGCCAAGATCGCTCAGAGTTTTCTTCAATGCAGGTTCGACCCGATCAGGCTGATGGTCCGTGTTCCATAATTTGCTTGTGACGAATATGTCTTCTCGTTTAATGACACCTTCCTTGATTTTCGCAGCAATCGCCTCACCGACTTCCTTTTCATTTTGATAAACTCTTGCGCAATCAAAGTGCCTGTACCCGACATCGATAGCATCCTTCACTGCTTGGGTTACTTCGCTAGGCTTTGACTACGATTAATTTTTATTTTTATCAAATATTCTCTGCCAACTTTTACGATGCATTCCTTACCTTCCAAGTGCCCAAGCCTAGAGCGGGGCACGAGTTGCCGTTATTAAACTTCACAGTTGGTTGTGCCATCATTATTTACGCGCAGCAATTAATGAACTAACTCATGAGAGCTTCAGTCAGGCATTCTTATTTATACCATACTGGTATCATTATCTTTTATATTTACACAACTAATCTAAGTACATACTGTTTGTGCAAGTCATATGTACATTGCAATTGATATCATTCACATTTTAGTGGTCAATTATTCGTGGGATTTTTGGGAAAATTAATGAATATCTATACTTTTATTCGAATGCAGTTTATTTTATACGAATTTTATTACGTAAAAAATATATATATAGAAAATATTCTGCAAATAATTACAATCGGAGTTGTTTGTACCTATTAGTTCTTAACTTAACTCAGCTCTTTTAGAACGGAATGTGGAAGGGAAAATAAGGACTCTTCTCCGTTCTGAAAAATAGATATTTGCGTTGAGTTAACTGAACTTAAATTAAATCGAAAATTAATGTAATTTTAAATATTTACCCAGTCATAGGAACAAATCTGCCACCGCAGTCGAAAGTATCGATACACGCAATATCTGACGGAGAAAGTTTAAAATCAAAGACCTGGCTGTTCTCTGTAAGTCTGGCTTTGGTAACTGTTTTGGGAATAACGATGTGATTACGGTCCAACTGAAAAAGATATGTAACATTGTAAAACAGCACATTTTCATGGAGATAATTAGTGGAAATCGACTTCGAACCTGGTATCGAATCAGTATTTGCGCAGGCGTTTTGTTATACTTCTTCGCAATTTCACCCAGTTTAGGGTCATCCAGCAATTTTGGCTCTTCAGGTTTAGCCCATGGTCTATCGGGTGAACCGAGAGGGCTGTAGCCAGTAACCAGAATGCCTCTTTCAGCACAGAAATTCGAGAGCTTCTTTTGGGTGAGGTATGGATGACACTCAATCTGCAAATTTTAAATTATTTTACAGAATGTATCTATACCAAAGATCAGCATGCTAAACGAACGTACTTACTTGGTTCGTAACTGGTTTGATGGTACAGTTCTTTAATAGCCTCTCTATTTGCTCAGAATTGAAATTGCTAACACCAATGTTCTTGGTGAGTCCCTTGCACATTACAGCCTCCATGCCTTTCCACGTGTCCAGATAATCCACATCGCTCATGGCAAAAGTGCCATCCTTATTCTTTGGCTGAAGATCATCTCCTTCTTTGTACGCCATTGGCCAGTGAATTAAATAGAGGTCTAAGTACTCGAGATTTAGATCTTTCAAAGATTGTTTAAGGGAAGGTTCGACTAAATCCTGTCGGTGAAAAGTGTTCCACAGCTTGCTCGTAATGAAAAGCTCCTCCCTCTTCACAACACCCTCATCCATTTTCGCTTTAAGCGCTTCGCCAACTTCTTTCTCGTTGCCATAGATAAAGGCACAATCAATGTGTCTGTATCCGACATCAATCGCGTCCTTAACAATCTGAGCAACTTTCCCAGGCTCCGACTGAAAAAGACAATATTAAAAACTTGCGGCAAATTGCATAATATGAAAAAATAAAAGTGATGTTACACAATGATAACGTAATGATTTTTCTATAAATTCTTCAAGTATTAGATATTATCTATACATTTCATCCTGACAGATACCTTATCTTTATCGAGCTGCGTAGTGGTTACTGCTTATCTATAACCAATGTAACTTCACATACAAAGTTTACGTTGATTATGTAACATCGTAAATTTGATGCAGTATATGAGTCAGGAACCTATAGGATATGTGGAGATATACGTGGAAGATTAGGTTTGTGAATTCTAGTATCTCGAACTGGAGAGAGATGATTCACTGCTTCTAATTAACTTTATTTATTTACATAATGGAATTTTAATACATCAAATGTAGACATACATTGTCTGATAAAATGGAAACAGGAAGACATTATCGTGTGTCGTGTTGTGACTTTGTTTTCGGAACATGTAAAAAGAAATTAAATGCTGTAGGCAAACCGTTTGAACGATTTAGATGTAGATTGTGTGAAACATATTGCGTCTAGTAGAGAGGCTAATACTGCTACCAGAAATAGATTACGTGGATGTTGCATGTTAGTTTTGTTGTAGCGAGGTGCTGCGTGAGGAACCGGGAAGAAGTTTCTCCTCTGCGAGAAACGACAATAAATCTTTTCCATAGAAGCGATAATACTGACCTTCCATGTACCGAGACCGAAGGCCGGTACCTCGTAGCAGTTGTAGAACTTCATCATCGGTGATTTCAGTGCCATTTTGATTGGTTTTGCCTTTTTACAGGTCGAAAGAGATCTTGACAAGACTGTTGCGGTTCTCGAAATGCGCCGCACTGACTGCCAAGCGTAGAACACATTCATTGCCAGGAAATTTCGCGCACCCTCCTTTTAAACCGAATCAATCCCTCCCGCCCTGCGGATACAGACTCGTACATTAAACGTTGGTCGGCGAATTTTTTCGCGCCTTCCTTCGTCAATCTGTTAAATTAATTTTATCGAGAAATAAAAAAGTTGAAGATTTCATTTCATTAACCGTTACCCGAACATTGGTTCATTTGTTCTCAAATTTCTATATATCAAAATAAAAGCGTGAATGCAGTGGTTCGTTTCGAAAAAGTTCAAGCAGCATCTTTGGCCCCCATGAAATTGTACTGTCCTGTCTTTTGCGCGCATGCGTTTCGCAATATTCGTCTTGTGTATGTGTACGTACGGGATCTTGCGTAAGAAACTGAATGTATTCGTAGTATTCGTAGCAACGAATTCTTTATGTGTGTTTGTATTCTGAATTATTTAAGTGTCATAGTCCCCGGGACGCGCCGGTGAACAGGCCCTATGGAAAATCACAGAGTCCGTTAGGCACAACAAGGGACGGTTGGGTCTCTTGATCATCAACAATGAATGAATGAATCACTGAGAATAACGCTACACAGAAATTATATGTTCTCGAGCATGATCTTTCCTATTCATGTTTCGCGCCATGTTGCGTGCATTTATTTCCATGAATTGTACTCGACGATAAACAAACAGTTGTTTCATTACTTAGAAGAAACTGATGACCACATTTTTTAAGCCACTGGTATTTATTAGATAACATGTTTTATATACAAATATGTACAAATAGGCTCATTTTGTAATACGTTTAACTTAAAATGATCATTCATTTGAATGACCCGATTGATGAAGCTTCTGAACTATATAAAGGGTCATGCTTTATCAGACAGATAAATATTTTAAATTCTACAGGAATAAACCTAAAAATTTTTATAATAATTTACATGATAGACATTTGTACTGATTCTATCTGTCTTTATCTTAAATTAAATGATACAATCAAACAGTAGGATTACCCACTAAATAATCAGCAATATTAAACAGATTTATCGACTCAACAATCGATAAACGTATCAAGTAGATTAATAAAATTATTCGCGAAGTATCATTATAAAAAATGACGAGGTTTAATAAAATAATCCGCCTGAATTAAACGATACCAACCATAACACGATTTCACTGAATACACGCATAGCGTTTAATAGTACCGGATAAAAAACGCAGAACAATAAATATATAAATACGCAACCAACTATCGCGAAGTAGAAGTTTGTTAAAGAGGTAATTGAATCGTCAGGTTTATTCCTATCATCGTATTCTAAGTATTTCTTCTCGCTCCATACTTTTTTATTTATCCTCAGATCTCTTATCGGTAAATTTGTTTTAATATTAAGCGTCTTATTAATCTTCTCTTTGAACAATGGCCAGTCTATTGTGTCGTTCGCGTAGCGAAAATGAGAGGACGTTTTCATTTTACGAAATACCAGAAATCTTATAACGGCCTTCACTTTCCTCCGAAATATTACTCTGTTCCACGATCTGATCGATGTAGCTTCGCCAGTATTCAGTTTTACGCATTTGTAGTGGCAATTAATCTCTTTCTTGAGAGTATCCAATAGCAAATCGATAATCAACGAGTTGAAATATTTTGTATGGAAATAGAGAAGGTCTTCCAGATCTTTTCTCAAAACTTTCAGTCTCCTGTTGCTGAAACCATATCCTGATACGTGTAATAGCGTCCTATGGTCAATGTTAAGGACTATGCAGCTGAGTATCGTCAGGATGAAGTCCATCGCCTTGCTCTCGACGGTCCTCCCCTTCTTCAACGCGATCGATACTTGTTTTAGGTTCTCGCAGCATAGCAACGAACCGTTCTGTCGGTCCGTTTGCTCGAGCATAATGGGCTATTCACAAGATCGATAATTCCAAAGATGTAATCACGTTTCTGTTATCACCGCGACGAGCGTTTTATTATGTGCATACTTACGTTACGCGATGTTCGATATATTCGATGTCGTGCTCTTGGTCCGTAATCTGTAACAGTAACTTACAAAAGTTTGTTGAAACACATTATGTATTAGATTTTGATAATGTCACATTGGTTACGCATCATGGCAATGTTACATATTTATGTTTACGTTCGGATTGAAATTGTTCTAATAACGGACGAGTTATTTGAAATTACTTGAAGGGTTCACGCACGTGCATCGTAACATAGTTTATTGGAAACCATAGGTATAAATATGCTTCTATAAATAAAAAAGCTTGTATAAAAAGAAAAAACAGAAAACAAAACATAAGTTTAACGATAGCGATAGAAGAAATTCATATCGAGAAGTTGTTCTCAAGATCGAATATGTATGTACATTTTTAATCGGAGACGATGCGCAATTGTTCATATGAAAGTCTTCGTAAAACTTGGCATCTGATTTCTCAAAACCGATATCCGACGTGTTCAAATGTTCAAATTCTAACGAGTTCCATGTTGTCTTTCCTATCCATCGTAACGAAACGGTTCGTGTCGTTTGTCTTGTCACATGAATTTCCGGTTAAAATCGGCTCGTCGTACTTCAGTGCTAAGCTGCTGAATGCAACAATATCCGAACACATTGCTTTCATGTCGCAGGAATTGGTTTTGGTTGGCGTTCGATAGCCACGCAGCATGTCGAAGGACATCACGTTCTTAATCGCGTCGCGGCATTCTTTTATCTTGGCAAGCATTCTAGACTTCCAGGAGGCGCAACTACTCGACTTGGATAATTCTGCGTTCAGTCTACAAAGAGAAGAAAAATGATTCGACGTTCGTTTTGGTCTTCAGAGACTATACTGGTGGAAAAGAAGCATGGTTCGATGCATGTATGTATGTATGTATACGCACACGATAGTTTACAAAACTTACGTTTCTGCGATATGGTTCATGATAGAATTTATCTGCACGCGTGTAACGACTTACTTATTAGTGATATGAGGAAGTATACGTGACCGACGAAGATGATTATAGAATACTTTCGAGGTACTGCTATATTCCTGCTTTTATCGTATCGGAAACCGTAGGAAGGTCGCGTGCGAATTTACCAAACATTGCGATACGCGTGAGAAATTCCAGTTACAGCAAAACACGCGTGCAATTTAATGAATTTCCTGGTTATCAAATCGATCGTGCCAAGTATAGATTTTAACGCTGTAAAGGAGAGGGGAGACAGTGGAAAATACCGTCGCGAAAATGCTATCCGGTATCCAAAAAAAATTCCATCCGTATTACATCGTAGTTAGCGAATGTAGAATAAGCGATTCTACTCGTCGAGCGAATCAACCTAAAAAAGGATTCTCTCCCACATACATAAGTCTTTGTCATTCGTTGGTCTTTGTTGGTCTCGACGGTGTCTGGCCTAGAATTCTCAATGGTTACGAATCGTTCTCTTTTCTCTTTTTCGGGTGGAATCCTGTATCAACGTATACTTACTCGCTTTCGTAGAAGCATATTCCAAATACAAGTAAGAGAAATTTGATAAGGTATAAAGAAAACATTTAAAAATATGATTCATATATTTTAATTTCACTTTTTGTGACAGAGTATTTAGTGTAAATAGTTGACCTTCGTGATTCTTTAATTATCTTTTTATATCCTGGCAACTACGGAAAGATGATTAGCCACCGCGTGACACGTTCTTGGAAAACGAGTTTCCTTTTAAAAAGTGTCGAGAAATGGCTCGTTAGTGTATTCAACCGTGAGGTGTGGCTAATTCATTTGGATTGTCGGGAAATTACAGTGTAACGTATAGTGCGGTTTTTGTGAATGAAGATTTCCTTAATTAAATTTTTTGTTCCTAACACATTTATTCGTTACAAACATCTGTAATTATCGTAATTAACTTATTGTTAGTTCGATGGCGGCAGTGCCTGTTTTGTTGTGCCGCATGACGTCATATCGGAGCCATTGAAATTTTCCATGGCACTCAAACCTAATTGACCAGGCAAGGGTCAAACGAGTGCCGAATTACGGTGTGGGATTATATAAGTTCAAAGGGGATATACCTTACTATCAGTTTATATTGAACATGTATATGACGGGCTGTTTCCTGCCATCCTTTCCTTGCTTTCACGACGAAACTTCCATTACTCGAACGGATAATATTTGTGGCCTTTCGCACTGGAAAAGTGATTCAAGAAAATTACATTACTGTCTTATTATTAAAAATTTTTTTAACTTACTCCCCGAATCGTGCGACACGTTGACCTGTGGCAAGTGTCGCCACGGCCGCTGACTCCTCGTCCGTTAGAGAAAAATCAAATATATTCATATTCTCCTTCAGCCGACTCGATGTCACTGTTTTTGGAATAATAGCGATACCCTGCTGCATCTGGAAAATATTACTCGCATTAAATGTCTATTTAGATAACGATAACACAATATCAAATTCTTTATGATTCATATAATCTAAAAAGAAAACGCGGTGTTCACCCTTCTATTCGAAAAATTCAACTAATTCTTATCGCTTACTTAGACATCATTAACGATAATTATTTTTCGCCGATAATACGAACTGAAAACACGAAATAGCGTTCTCACATCTATTTTTACATATGACTATTTACACAACGACAAGAAGTATAAGATATAGAAACTAGACTTACTACATATCTTAGAGCAATTTGTGGCGGTGTTTTGTTATACTTCTTAGCTAGTTCAAGGATCTTCGGGTTCTCCAAGAAATTCGGTGTACCCGCCTTGTTTCCGGGTTGTCCCAAAGGCGAGTAAGCCGTTATCGTGATATTGTGTTTTTTACAAAATTCTATCAATGGTTTCTGATGCAAGTTAATGCTGACTTCCACCTATAAGATGAGAGTCACCGTAAGCACGTCTTCAAACTGATAATATAATCAGACTGCGGATTCTTATGTAAACTAAGATAGTTTTCTATAAATGCATATAGAAATTTGGTATCTAATAATATTAAAAACCAGTAAAATCACCTGGTTGTTCACGGGCAAAATCTTGGCAGCACCGAGTAGCCGAGTAATTTGTTCTTCGTTGAAGTTGCTAATTCCAATACTGCGAGTCAATCCTAATTGTACGCACTCCTCCATACCTTTCCAGGTTTCAATGTAATCGATATCTGATAGCTGAAGGACGCCTTTCTCGTCCCTGGGCATCAAATCATCACCATCCTGCAATTGGAACATTGATTAAAACACTCATTAGCTAATTAAAGGCGTGTCGATTTGATAGACACCTTAAAAGCAAATGGCCAATGAACTAGATACAAATCCACGTAGCTGAGGCCAAGATTTTCCAATGACTTTTTACATGTTGGTACCACCTTCTCTTTCTTGTGGAAATTGTTCCAAAGCTGCAAACAGATCATTAATTTAAAAAATGGAATTTAAGTAAGAATTTCTTTTATCCTTTAACAACTGTAATATGCGTGTCACTTTCTATCTTACGTCTTGAATATCATTATATTTTTCTATGGATTCATAAAATCTGCAGTCTAATTATAACATTTGATTACCTTGGTTGTAATGAAAAGATCCTCTCTCTTCACAGTACCGTCTTTTATTTTCGCTTGAACTGCTTGACCGATTTCTTTTTCATTTTGATAAAAGAAAGCCGTGTCAATGTGACGATACCCAAGATCTATCGCCTCCATCACGGCTTTTTCCACTTCTCCAGCTTTGGACTGGAAAACAAAATAGTTTAGACACACACGTGGTGTGTTAACTACACCGTTTCGAATAAACCGCGTAAACAGATCACGTGGTGCGATACTTATTAATGCATTTTGATCAATTTAAAAACATTGCCTTCGATTACAACTTGCACAATTTTTATGATCAGATGTTTTAAAAACGCGTGTCAATATTTTGTTACCTGATATGTGCCGAGACCGAAGACGGGCATCTTGTGCCCGTTAGAAAAAGTAAGATTGGGTATTTCAGGCATGACTGCTGATAGATTTTATGTACTCTGAAAGAAAGTTAAACTCGTGCCGATCGATGCAATCCGATCAATACTAGACGTCCAAGTAGCACGATTATACTGAAGGATAATTTATTAATGCCTGTGTGCCACCTCCTTCATATGCTACTAACTGAATTTATCTACGATTGATATTACATAATGCGGATGACGTGAATCGAACGGGTCAAGATTAGAGGTAATACTACTAAGGTTGCACAATTTTGTCGCAATATTTAAACACATTATCAACAGCTTATTATAATCCTTTCGATAAGAGTGTAGTCAGAATTTCAATACACAAATACATTATGTGTTATTATGATCAAATTGACAATTTATGAACAAACATTTAACGACGCATGTTCATTTCACATATTCATAAATAATAGACATTTTATTTCCAACAGATGTTTCTAAACAAAATTTTTAATGAACAAAAACTGTTATAAATGATACTTAAAAACTTAAAACTCTATGTTAAACGGATAATCCTTGTGCCCCTTGAACCTAAGAAAAAAAATATATATATTATTATGACGGAACAAATGAGAGGTGTATTACATTCAATTATTTACTTACTCCGCGGCAGGACAAATCCGGAGGCCGCAGTCCAGTTTGTCGATAGTCGCTATTTCCTCCGGTGTTAACTTGAAGTCAAAAATGTTGATGTTCTGTTTGATGCGCTCTTTTGAGCTAGACTTGGGAATGGGAATAGTGCCAATATCGATCTACAACCAGTAATCATTTTAATTAACCGTTCCACGTCACCTATTGTTTGTAGCATGCTTACCAAATATCGGAGGATAACTTGCGCTGGCGTTTTCCCATATTTCTTCCCTACTGCGACGATTTCCGGTGCGTCCATTGTCACTTGAGGATCAGTAGACTTCGCCCAAGTACGCTTAGGCGAACCGAAAGGACTATAAGCAGTAATAGTGATGCCACGTTGGGCACAGAACTCTCGCAGCTTCTTCTGGTTTAAATTCGGGTGGACTTCCACCTGGTTCATCACCGGCTTGATCGCGGCGATCGATAAGACGCGATCGATTTGGACGGAATTGAAATTGCTTAACCCGATACTCTTCGTTAATCCCAGTGTGACGCATTCCTCCATACCACGCCAGGTATCTAGGTAATCCACATCCCCAAACATTGGATTTCCTTTCTCATCGACCGGCCACAGGCTTTTAGCATTTTCCTAAAAAAGATACATACTAATTACGATTGTTCTTCAAGTATAAAATTATTTGAAGAAACGTGTACCTTGTATGATATGGGCCAGTGAATAAGATACAGATCGATGTAACCGAGTCCTAAGTTCTTCACAGATCTTTTGCAGACAGGCACCACGTCTTCCCTCTTGTGCGATGTGTTCCATAGCTGAAATTAGAAAAATGACAATCTGCTAATATTACGAAGTATCGAATATTGAGTGATGAATATGAGATTACCTTTGTCGTGATGAATAAATCTTCTCGCTTCACAACTCCCTCGGCGATTTTATCCTGTAGGGCCTTGCCGATTTCCTTTTCGTTCCCGTAAATGTAGGCGCAGTCGAAGTGTCGATACCCGGCATCCACAGCATCCCTTACAGCTTGCTCGACAACGCTCGGATCATCCTTAACATATTGACGACTTTTTTGTAAATTCATTATCTACTTGTAAAAGAGAATTATAAATGTTTACCCCGGCTTGCCAAGTTCCAAGGCCCAGCACGGGACATCTTTGCCCGTTGCTCAAAGTGATAGTGGATGCAGCCATCGCTTGTAATTATTCACGAATTTATAATTGACGTGATCTGTCACTCTCTGAATTGTACGAGAGCAAAATGTATGATATGTACAAATCAATTCTTGGAGTCATAGTTGCCAGCAAAAGGCCCTACCTACCCCTTCCACCAGCAAATTGGTTCGATACCCCCCCGGCGAATCTCTGGAGGAGAACGTCACGCCGTGTGTTACGCTATCCTCGCCGAAGGAGAATCTAGCCTACTTGCTGGTGGAAGGAGTAGGTAAGACCTTGTGCTGGCAACTATGCGTGAAGTTTCTCCCACTCGACAACTTGCACGCTAAATGCTAATTACGCATATACATTACACACGCAGTAACATCAGAGCTTACATAAGTATGTACAGTAAAGAAAAATAAAGCTTTACATGTTCAATATAAAACGGATCACAAGTGAAGTTATCACGGAGAGCGTAGCATTGATAGCAAATCATGATACGATTAGATTACTCGAAAAGAAATGATAAACAGCTTCAAAATGATTTATGTATATTCATATTTCCAATTATACATGAGTGATGAAAAACACGTATTCCGGGTTTTAATTTATATTATTTTACAAAAATTTACAAATGTACAAATAATTTCACGTAGTCTTCGTTTCGTCAATATCTTCCGTAATAATTATCTTCTCTCTCCTGGAGTTCTTATTCTGATTTTTTATCTTTTTCGAAATTTCTACTCCGTTCTCCAAGTCGATCCTCGTCCTTGAACGTGTACCTGGTCCCCAATTGATCATAGGATTTTGCTGGAACCTAGTCAACTTGTTCTGCCTGGACGTCGGATTGGCCGAGGGATGTACATTAAATGAAACGTCGATAGTTGTTGGAGTGTCTAATATTTTTATCGCTGAACTGTCTTCCGGTAGCTTGTCTCGTTTTACAGGATTATTCTTTTCCCATGCGCGAACGATATCCCATATAACTTCGTTCGGAGCGTCCGTCTTGATAGAAGTTCTGCATGCATGCGAATAAGATACTTGATAGCCCGCGTTCAACAGCGCAGATCTAAACACCAACATCGACGGTGTCACGCATCTGATAATGGACATCAAACGATCGAGAGTGTAGTACAACGGGTAATCTAATTCTTCGTGAATAACATTTAGCACACCCTCTATCCTTTTCAATGTTCCTAATTTCATTTCATCTAAATTGCATAAAAGGTCAGACACGAAATGTTGATCATGTAAAGGACCTAGCCATATGGGACCGCCCAGGTGCTGCTTGTGATTACAGATTTTACAATGCTGATCCACGGGCTGAAACAATAATTTGTAACCACTGGTTGGTCTCTTGTAACAGAATGCTCGAGTATTAATACTCTCGCAACCTGTGCATTGATACACCATGCCGATTTTCGTCGCGTTCTGTTTGCATTTGATTTGACTGGAAAACACTTTGACAAATACTCGTACATAAAAGTCTGCACTTATCGAGAGTATCGGTACTATGTATCTGCCATAACGTCCGGCGTGCGAAGCAACATTTTGGAGTAATATTCTTAATGCCATTTCATGGCAAGCCTTAGATCTCAAGGAAATAGCTCCATATTTTAGATAACAAGTCTCAGGTGAATTACCGGCTAATACGGCCATATCTGTGGCTGTGATCATAAGCAACCCACCTTCTGATACGCATTGGACTGCTCCATCTAAAAATATTGTAGGACAACCATATGGGTCTAAATCTATCGCATCAAACTTGTCTTTTCTGCTCTGATACATAAGTAACATTGCATCTTGATGACTTGGTGTCACAAGATGTTCAACCTTATTATGTTGAATATTTTGCTGAATGCTTGTGACTGCTTTAGCAGAAATATCGTTGGCTATGATTTGTTTGATATCTTCTACTTCTTTGGCATATCGAATGCTTCTTAAACCTGTTGCTGACAATGCTTCTAAAATAGTAATACCTTCCGGTTTTTGTCCATTCGTATTTACTGCTTGTTTATTTCTGTTTTTTATGTGGGTTGTTAATACTGCTACGCTCAAGTCTCTGTTAAACTCCTGAACAGGATTGTAGAATACGTTCGTGTCTACCAGAATTTCAGCCTCACCTTCTTTTATACTTGTATTGTCTAACTTTGGCTTTTTCGAGCATTGCTCCATATTGTGAACACACTACTGTGTTTCTGAACTGAGTTCTTTAGCAAACTTCTTAATAATATCGATAATAATATAATACACGAGAGGTTATGTCTTGATCGGAACGACTTGTTCAATAACAAGTTCACAAGCTTAAAAACCTCTGCAAGAGAGGACGCCACAGTTTAAGTTTCGTAGGGAAAACAAATTATTTTCAGTTTTGTCAATTGTAATCTTAGAGCATATATGTAGATTGTAATTGATCAATGTTTCATTACTTTCGCTATATTTGAATATGTACATACATAGAAGGAGGATCTTCTATCTTCATCTTATGAACACCTCACTGATACATATCGAAGAAAATTATAGGAAAAGATCTGCAAGATCCGGGAACGCGTATTTTCGTTTGCCTAATTGACAATGTGTCAATACTGTCAATTTTAGCAAAACTCATCTTCAAGTTATCATATAAGTAAACATAAAATGGACAATGGACATCATCATATATATATTCAAGAACAAGGCATTAATTATCAATCCTACGTGCAATAATAAGTTTTTCACTATCTGATACAATCTTCTTTCGCGGGATTTCCAGTCGATTGTGTAATACGATAATTATAAGCGCATTTAATTATAAATCTTCTATTAGATTTACTATATTTACATACAATAATTCAATCATGATTCATATCGTAATTAGAGAGATTTATCAAATACGAATTTTATCTTTTCGTTGAGAGGAAAAGCGCGCATCAATAATTTATTTGTAGGAAGGAAAGAAGCGGAGGAAGAGAATATAAAAATAACTGGCTCATCGGTTCGCGCGATCAAATGTGAACAAGTGTTTGCCGAGTGTGGTCTACGACGTTTAGGTAAAATCACGCTATCTCTTTAATCAGTTTTTAATAAAGGAAACGGCGAAACTATGAATTATTAATTACTAAAGGGATAGCGTGAGTCTCATTATAAATTTTTAAGAAGTTCAGTGTGAAAGTGAGTTGGTAGATGACACCTACTGAAATAATTTCACTTCTCTTTGTTTTCAAATCCTTTACGAAATATTGTAGTTTTGCAAATCGTGAAAATATTGATCTACTCAAATTCTGAAGAACATACGAACTATTGTATAAAGTAGATTTGAATACAGTGCTTTCGAATTTCACAAAATCATTTGGATGAGTGACTAATCGTTAGTTCCGGGCAAAAGATCGCTCCATATAAGACGATCCTACGTAATGTGATTCTGAGAACGACGAGTTTCTTGAAGTAGGATTAAAATAAATAAAAATTTAGCAACATGATCTGAAATGCAACCGATAGATATTTGTATTTGATCAACGTAAATGCTAAAAGGAATTCGATGCGTTTGCGTTGCAGGAGTCAGCTAACAAAAATAACAATGATGACACCGATCCTCATCTTCACTTCGTTTCTTTTGCTCACGTTTTCTTATAATTGCCGCGCGCAAAACTCGCATTGTAAAGCCAATTACGAATGTCCGCCAGACCATTGTTGCGTTTTAGGTATATTTATCGTTTTTGAACTAAATAGGTGGATTTACAATTTTAATAAAGTACAATGAGTAATTACGGTTTTAGGAGGAGTAAGATATAGCGTGCCGCAATGTGTACCTCTATTAGGAAAAGGAGACACGTGTAGACCTGGTAGCAACATCACGATCAGCGGAGATCTTGCGTATCCAGATGGGTCTACGTTGGCAGTAGAAGAAGTCCATTATATTCTTTGTCCTTGCGGCGATAAACTAGTATGCGATTCGGAAAAAGGTGTTTGTATGTAATGGAATTAACGAGAAACGCGGTACAAATCATTCCCTGGAGGATAATAATAAGGACGACAATTACTTAAATCAAACTTAAAAAACAATAGCATTTGATGTTCATCGACGTACGTTTGTATTTAATCGATTGTAACAATAGATAGTGATAGTAAATGAATATATAGTGATAGTAGGCCAGTCGTAACTTAAGGATGTATAGGCTATACATATACTTAAACAATGTTGGCATGTTGAATTTGTTATTATAGATTCCTATTACTATTAAAAAGCTAGAATTATAGTGATTTCAAATTTTTCATAGGT